CTCCCGAACCTTTCAACGTCACGCATACGGGAATGGGCACTCTAGATTTCGGCATTGTTCCCACCATGGTCCCGAAAGACTATGAAATTGGGTTCAAAGGGAAGGACCATAAGGGTGAGCTCGACGACATAACTACTCCAGATGACCCCGAGTTTGCACATTATCGTAGTCTGCGGAATACGGTAGCTGCCCTCCTCCGCATGTCACAGCTTCATCCTAGATGGAAAACCATCTCTGAGGTTGAGCTTGCCATGCGTCGCAAGCTCGTCGTTAACTCAGTCATCAACCCGCTCACTGCTCTCATGGGCTGCAAGAATGGTGCAATCACCACCGCCCCCCGATCTGCGGATATTATAGCCAGTGTCTGTCGTGAAGCTTCCCGTGTCTACGCGTCTCAGACAAAAAGCGGCACTGCTGCTTGGCTCAGTAGTCTGGAGGAGCAGGGTCACGATATTCAGGACATCTCTTGGGGTCGCGTTCCTCTTGAATTGACACCCAAACAACTCGAGAAAGAGTGTATGAGAGTTGCTGGCGCAACGGCCGACAACATTTCGTCGATGTTGGCGGACGTTCGCCGTGGGAATGTCACAGAAATTAACTACCTTAACGGCTTCCTCGTTTCCCTTGCCAAGTCGTACGGCGTTAGGGTTCCAACTATCACACTGCTTAGAGATCTCATCATCATGAGAGGCGGAATACCCGTGGATCACTAAATGTTACAACAGCGAAAAGTGCAAGGTTCAGATTCAAAATGCTGGTATGGACTGGGTCATAGAGGCTGGTTGCCTCATCTTAGACTCCTTCTAATGATCATCTGCACCAGGACGACCCCATTTCACCATCCTTGTCACACCATGTTGCCAGTCTGCCACACGTCGAGCAGCTATTAAACTCATTGTCGACCCGTCAGTGCCAACAAGACCACTCGCAAGAGATTGAATAACCGCGTCAATGAGGACAGGATACCTGTTCCAAGTCAATGCATGCCAACGGAAAGAGGAAGATTTACTTACCATGGTCCATGCTCTGCCGCTGTGATGGAATGGTCTATTCTGTGCCAACCAAATGTAGCCACATCTTTCCACCAGGCTTCATCTCGTTCGTCGCTCGTCATGATAACATGCTCAACTGCGAGTCCATGCTTCTCCATCAATTCGTCTTTCACTTCTTGAACCCGTCTTGCGATGGCACTCAGAGGCGCAAAACACTCTTCTAGTGGCTGGCCGTTGCAATACGAATCGAAGTCGTCACGCCTGGCGTGGATTGCGATCCACTATTATCATCGTGAGCCTGCTATCTAAGACCTTGAACATCACTCACTAAGGGCAATTCGCCATCAGGTGCACTGCCAATGATTTCTTCTAAGTATTGCGCTGTAAGCTCCAGCAGTGACTCGTGCCAGTACATATGTGTCCCTACAAACCTCCAGGCGGGACTATAGTCGCGCCCGAACTCATAATGCTAGAGGAGTTGGTTAGATCGGTGTTGACCACTTGCTCGGTGCACACTTACCTGTTGGGTGGAAACATAATAAAGGTAGTCAATGCACATGAGCTGCGAATCTGGCCGCATTACTTCTTTTGACAACGGCGCTGGGATAGTCGGACCCTTGTGCTTCTGCTTGTCCTTCAGGAAACCCCAGTCGTGCAAGTGACCAGAATGTTGCATGGTTTTGGTTCTCACCGCCGGGTCTTAATCTCACCCAGGATGGGGCTTGTGTGTATGAAAGATCTACGAACGAACGAACAAGTCAGTGCCATTCTCAACCAGTGCCATCCAACTCGCACCAATCCTTAAATCTTTCGGGGCAACGCTAGGACGAGGATACGCTTCATTTTCTTGCACTGCCTGCCAAATATTCCAACAGCCGAGCGTATCGATAACTGTGCTCTTAGGATCTTTCACTTCGTGCCATTCGAGAATAGGCATCCCCAAAGCTTCTGACAGCCCAGGAAGGTCGAATATTTTTCCGACCAACATCGAAGCGCCTTGGACATGACCAGGAGTAAAGTGTGGAAGTATAGGAACGCGTTGAGTGATAACTGCGAGATAGATGAGATTCATCTAGACCATGATGAGCGCGAAACAAAGTAAATAACACAATGCTCACGTATGTCATCACGTCGTTCGTCCAGCCAGACGATGGCCACGAAGTGATATAAGTGGTGTCAGAGAGCAGATTATCTATTTTGTGGGAGGGGAATTCCTCAATGTAAATCATAAATTTGCAGTACGGCTTGCCCTTACCTTTGAAACTATGAGTCGGTGGTCCTTTCAGCGCACGGAAAGTATTTTTTGTCTGGTCATCCAGAATCGGTGATGGTGGGTTAATAGCTGGCTTAGGTGCTGGAGGGGGTACTGGAGGTGATTCTGAAGAAGACTCTGGTGAGGGAGCTGGCGGAAGCATTGGTGGAGGCACTGGCGGAGGCACTGGCGGAGACACTGGTGGAGGTATTGGTGGAGGTACTGTGTTTGGACTCACGCGCCATGTATAGAAGGGACTCAATGCCAAAAGCACTAAGGCGAAGAGCGCGACGACGCGAAATCCACGAAGACGTCTCATTCTGTGCAGAATATGGTGAATGGCGAATTGTCTGTCTGAAGAAAGCATGAACGCTAGAACCAAGAGATAATTAAAATTTCCTGATACCCTGTCTTTACCTTGTCATTTTTACCTTGTTGCTCTCCTTTCTTGTTGCTTGAAGTGTTCAAATGAACCTCTTTAGTCATTTGTCTTCCTTCTTCAACATATATCATGCTCCGTCTACCTTTCTTTAGTCAATAATGTGTGTGATGCAAAGCCAAAAATTAGATAAATAGAAGAACTTGTTGCCCCCTAAGTGGACGTTTGCGATCAACATACCTTGAACCAAAAGTGGTGCCGCTACGTATAAAGATTAGGGTATATAGAGTATAGACTTATAAAAGGTCTACCGTGACGTCTTTCTTGTCTTTAAACCTCAAGATGACTACAATTCCCTCCTCCAAGAATGCCTCTGACGAAGTTGATCGCTTCGAACGTCAGTTAGGGAATACTGAGGTTTCTTATTTCCTCCCCTCTCGCCTGCCTTCCTGTGACCCGACGCTGAATGGCGTCAATGACATGTACTTGCACCTCGGATTCACTGCCCCTGCAGACATTGTCTCAGCGAAACGCCTTGTGCTCATTTGGGCTATCATGAGGCAAACCCATCCTTTACTGGCATCAAAAGTTGTGATGCATGATTATGAGGACATTCGCTTCACGTATGTTTCAATTTCGCCAGCCTCGCCGTGGTTCACGAGATCCCAGCTTCGAGCCATGTCGTTCTATAGACGCCGCCCTCGACAATGCAAATAGCGCGTTCGAAACTCGGAATCAAACCAAGGATGGTGCAGATCCTTTCTTTAAATCTATCTTTCAGACTAATCTCACCCTGTCGGATTTCTTTAGAACTAATTGATTCCTATTTGAATGGACCGCGTACCCTATCTGCCCATCACCTTTCCCATCTCATCTTGAGCTCTGAACCGCAACAGGAGCAGTCTGACAGTACAGAACAAGAATTTCACCTCCTTATAGCAACAACCCATTTCATTGGCGATGGAGCATCTCTTCACAAGACATCAAACGACATCTTTCTTCGTCTTAGCTCATTTTCGGATGCAGATTTGGAGAAGGAACTCGCACAGGCACTTGAGCTTACAGCTAATGATGTAAGTAGTGCTCATGTCATGGAGTATCTTCTATGCTTACGATCGTGGAATCATCGACCTACCAGACATTCGCGTTTCCTCCCCCCATCGAGGCAAGACTGAGCTTCAATCGTGGACCTTGGAATCAAGCAGCCTCAAAAGCTGCTTTTACGAAGTCGCTACAGAAGCAAATTGTGAGTATTTCATTCATAAACTGATCCCTAGTTGTTCAATAGTAGCTTAGGGCGGACAATCATTCTCCCCACGAAACACTGCAAATGGACGTCGCACTATCGTTCCAACAGTTACCATTGGCACGGAAAGAACCAAAGAGATTCTGCGCAAATGTTCATCAAATGGCGTCTCTGTTTCTTCTGCTATGTTTGCAGTTTGCAATTTGGCCTGGAGCAGGGTCCAGAGCTCTAAAAACCGCGAAACTCTACCTCTGTGTGTGCCTTGTTCCAGCGAAGAACGAAAACTAACCCTTGACCAAGTATGCTGTACTCAGCTCTAAATCTCCGCCCCTCTGTTTCCAAGATCAAGGCACCCTCGAGTTCTTATTGGTTTTTAGCAATCGGTTTTTTCAACGTTATCCTCCCCGCATACTTTCCGACCGGTCAAAACAATCTGACAGAAACTTTCTGGAGGCGTGCTAGGTCAGCAAAGCTTCAGGTTCTCGAGCAGCCAAGCACCCTCTTCTTCATTCGTACACCGAACAAATGGCGCAGTTGCGGGGCAACAGGGCTCGTTCTTGGGCCAAAGAGGATGATCTAAAGGAACAAGGGAAATTTATTCCTCCTCCAACCAAGCCACAAAACGTTGAGGCTGGTGACGAAGACACCGTCTCAGGTGTTGACTGGATTGTCATTATTAGGAAACTTGGACGATATATATGACCACAAGTCTTACGCTCAAGGTGGTATCCGCCTTCACACACTCACAACAGGGTCTCGACAGCGTCGAGGGGCCTCCTTGATTTTTGTATACACCTTCTGCGAGAAACTTTGGCTGAGCTTTGGGTACGATGTTGAAAGCTTAGGAGAGGAAGGCAGGGCAATTTTGGGAGCAATTCCAGAAAGCTGTCGATGATTTGTTCTGACGAGTCTCAGACAACTACCATAGACTACTTCGAGATAAATCGTTATTCTGGATACTCAAATACTGAGCTCAATTTGCAAGTGTAACTTGGTATTTGGTCCTGATATAAGTAAACCTCCACGTAGCACTTGAACGCGGTAGCAACCTCGAGAAGATAATTCATGAGTCCAAAACGGCGATCAGAAGGTAAAGAAACCTTTTCTATGTCTCGCATGGAATTCCGTTAAGACCCCGTGGCGCAGCGGTAGCGCGTATGATTCCAGTTAAGGAAGTTCCATAAGGTCATCCGTTCAATCCGGGTCGGGGTCATTTTTGGAGAGAGGGAGGAGCAAGTCGGAGTGAGGGAAGGAGAATTATCTAACCTGACATTTGTTATATGACAGGGGCTGCCTTTTTTTGAGGCCTCAAACAAGAATGATTGGTCTTGCACCTGTTTCAGAACATCGGTCAATTTCACACCAGGAACTTTTCCACACTGGAAGTAATTGTTGGATATGGGCGATTCACACAGTGATTTTTAGAAAGATCCTTCGGCCTGTGGCGGACTAAGGGACGGAACGTGGAAATCCTGAGGCTGGGAGTGTGATGAGATTTTTCTCCTGACGCGTTGTCTGTTGCGGAATTCTTACAGATTTCTAGCGTATTGTCCTGGTCGTGGACTTATCACCATCCTGCGGCCTACTGGCTAACCCTGTTCATTTTGGGAAATTGCTATGAACCCTTGAAAGGGTGGCCAACCAATATCAATCATCTCGGCTTGCCGAAGACGAATTTACTTGAGGAATTCGGCTCACATCCCATCCTTATGTGATCATTTTTTTTGGCCGAGTGTCTCATCCCCGTATGCCGAATCCACCAATGCCTGGGGGTCCTACGTATCCCAGTGTGCCAAAATTCATTAGGCTACCTCCATTAGGTAGACGGAAAAAAAAACACCCTTGAAAGCGCTGAACCGGACGGTCACATAACTTAAACTATACAATACTCTAAGAACATCAAAAGAAGTCTCAAGTTGCACCGGCCGGCTTCATTCGGTGCGAACAGGGAATTCTAAGGTGAGGCTCGATCCGTTATGGCCGAAAAGTTGCTCAAATGGGGGCTTCCTGAGACTTGTGTGCCAAATTATGAAGGATTTTGGGATTTTGACCAAAACTTATGTGCCGAAAATGTCCCAACACATCGACTTTTAGATCGCACATATATACCGGCCCGACGTTCTTGCTTGCCTTCGCACTATAACCTTTGATGAGCACCCAAAATGTCCCATTCTCAACCACCGAGAGTTTTATATGTGGTGGAATTGCTGCAAGTATTGCAGTAATGTTTTTTTGCACTGTTGATTTGTCCAAAATTCCTAATTATTCGTTCATAGGTGACAATTTCCAACCCCGCAGAAGGTTTTGCCACACTTGCTGAAGTCTTTTGCTTCTTCCTCACCGTTCCTTCGTAGTTGCTAAAACAAGGCTACAACTTCAAGGTATGTTCAGCTAGAGTTCCTGGACTTGTTTTTCATCTCCATTTTCAGGTGAATTGGCAAAAGGAGGAGGCGTCAAGGTTTACAACAGTGCGTTAGACGCCTTACGGAAGACATTTCAAAACGAGGGTCCGGTTCTTTGGCATTGCACTATTCATCTTCTCAATAGTCTTTAGGGATACGTGGAATTCAACGTGGCCTTCCTCCTGCGGTAGGATTCGTTCTCTCTGCCTAGTTTCCCAAAGTCCTAACGCTACTTCACCAGTATGCTTACCAAGTACGTATTTGACGCGTCTTCTTCCTTCATGGCTGATTCACGACTCTAGATTCTACTTAATGGATCTCGTCTCGGTTCGTAATCCCTCATCCAGCTCTTTTAGACCATCTCATTTTTCACCAAAGGATTCTATGAACCTATCCGCCACTTTATAAACAATGTCATCGGTCGTTCTCCCTTAGACCAAATACCTTTCACTTCAGTGACGGCTGGAGCCTTAAGTGGTGCTGTCGGAGGTCTGGTGTTCTACTTTTTGTTTTAGTTGGGCATTCACTGAATCTCCCTTAGCTTCGTTAGGAAACCCTCTCTTCCTCATAAAAGCGCGCATGCAGGTATGAATACCTTCTCCTCGTATTAACCAACACTTTCCCCAACCACTATATTAGGCCTACTCTCCCTCCCTTCCTGTTGGCACACAACACTTTTACACGTCCTCTTTCAACGCTCTTTCCACCATCTTTCGTGCTGAAGGCTTCCGAGGGCTTGTTCGCGGGATGGATGCAGCTATTCTTCGAACATCCATGGGCAGTTCCGTCCAGCTACCAAGTTACAACTTCACCAAGACGCAACTTGTAAAAAGGGGCATCCTTCCAGAGAACAGCACTTGGACCTTTTTAGCGAGCAGTTCTGTCTCTGGCGCGTGTGTATGCCTGGTCATGCAGCCAGCAGATACGGTTTGCTAATTCTTTCCTTCATGGGTTCCCCCCCTTCTAACCTCTTTTGTAGGCACTCACTCGAATGTACAACCAACCGACTACCAAAACGCCAGCCGGAAAAGTAGTAGGGTTACTCTACAAGAATCCAATTGACTGCTTGTGGAAAACTGCCAAGACTGAAGGAATCAAGGGTTTATACAAAGGTATGTCTGTCTCTCTAAATTATTACAGTAGTTTAGACGTAACTTCTTTTCAGGGTCAACCGCACATTTCCTTCGCATTGCGCCGCACACGTAAGACATCTCTCCTGCTAACCTGTATTATTCTGATCATATGATACAGGATTGTCACGTTAACAGCAAACGACATCATTATAGACCTATACAAGAACTACAAGCTAAGAAAATTAAATCGGTCATCGTAGACTAATGCCGTATATTTGAGGAGAGTGGTCATATTGACACATCAGACGGCAGAGTTGTCGATGATGCCGCCTTATTACTAGTCTTTTTGTTCCTGCGGCTCACCATAATGGAGGATGCACTGGGGTCGTCGTATCTAATGCCCGTATATGAGGTGGAGCTCTAGGGAGGGAAACCGAGCGCACATACATTTTATATGTCTGTAATAGATATCCACCCGTACCACTCGATGTCATTTCCGGATGTGTTCGACCAGGAAGAACTTGGTATCGTCTAAGCCAGCACTCTGTGAGACTAGGAGAGAGATATCTATGGCCAGGATCCGCTCGCATCTTCATTTGGACGTCCACAAGATGCTATGCAACGGTTAGCCTAGTTCTCATGAAGGGAACAGGATTCACTTGAGCAAATGGGCTATGAGCGACAATAGACGCGGAGCCGGTTAAATAGGGTTCTAATTTGTCAATAACCGAGAATATGTCGTATTGGGTTGCAACGAGAAGACTTGGTGCATCGCGATTAGAAGACGTGTGGTAGCAAGAATGAGAACTGACCCATCAAAATGTCCTGCCAGGAGCTCTTGCCTTGTTGCCTCAAGCTTGTCATGAGCAAGTTTACGCTTTTGGAGCCGTTGTCTTTGACGATCGGAACGTATTGTTTCTTCTGGGACATCCAAAGGCGCAGAAACTGGAAGGAGGTTGGTTTCAGGGCAGCCCATGAAAGAAAGGAGTCAAACCAGGAGTCCATTCCGGTTCTGCAGTTGCCCAATTCAAAGAAGATAGTGGTGAAAGATTTTCTTTGGAGAAGTTCATGTTGACCATAAATGGATATGTTGGTGGGGACTCGGTATCGCACACTGTAACCAGACACCCATCGCCTAAAACGTTGGTTGTGTAAATCTTGAGAAAGTCATGTCAGAGGTAGCTCATACCACCCAATCTTTCGAGAATTCCGGCAATAAGGATTCCAGAAGCGTCGTCAACTGCGAGATAACGACCGCCTGGACGAACACTGGCGAGATTGAGCATTTGAGAAAGGGAATCCATGCGAAGGTCGCGTACGCGACTAGGATCTTTTGTGAACCAGTATTCGCAGACATTGAAAAGCGTAGGGGGTATTGTTGTAAACGATTTAGAGTATCTAATAAAAGATTAAGCAATCGTGATCACTTTTTCTTGGTCTTAGAAAGAGAACTAACTGACTTAGCCTCTTTGCGCTTCTTGTATTTTTCTTTGCTGTACTCTGTTTTTAGCTCGTAATTTGCGTGTTGCTCAATCTGCTTCTTGATCATGTCCGAAGCATGGAGACCTGATTCTTTGAGTGCAAGGATCTCGTCTGTGGTCAAAGGTTGGACGAGTTGGTCGTCTGTGATCAGTTCGTTGTTGGCATCCGTGTCCACTGCAGCAAAAGAAATTAAAAAATGACAATTTGTAATCAATACATTAAAGCTCATATTTCTCACCAACTTCTTGCATTGTTCTTGGTGGAAGAATGACAAGATCGCGACCAGAAACCTCGTATGTCAAGCCATAGGGGTGGTGGAGAAGTGCGTTAGCAGAGAAAGTCCCGATACGACCAGCTGTAACGTTTCCGTCCTTTTCGATCTGAACTGACTTGACTAAGCCAGAAGCAAGACGAAGAAGGATGTGGTGACCAGGAAGGATAGTGGTGGAAGTGTTGGAAGACATTTCATTGAGAGCGCCCAAGTCGCGCCTGCGACGTGCTTGCTTCTTGCTATGATGATGGAAGAGGACCCGTGGGGGGACGACGATGCCAGTGTTCCAGAGTTCTCTGCAGCTGCTGTACGCCATGAGTTTCAGTCTAGCCTTCCTCCCGAACTACCAGAACAAGAAGAAGAACTGGAAAGCGTGGATGGGTCCATTTCCACGTTTGATATAGATGCTACGTCCCGACCCCCTTCTACCCATCAAAGCCCGTCAGAAGAGTATTCTACGGTTGAGTTGTCTCTCGAAGACACCTCTCATCCACCAGAATCGCCTCCTCATACCGTCGATTCCAGAGAGGCGACTCCGGACGAAGAGCCACATTCATACCCCACTGTAGTCATCGATGTCGAGGCTGAACTCGAACACCGTGTTGCCCAAGTTTCTCAACCTGACTCTTCCGCTTCCTCGAGATCTGGATCCCCACCACTTGACCTTCCCCCACTCAATCTCTCAAAAGCGGGACATAACGTCAGCGCCTCGACACCGTCAGCTCATTCATCTCCCTCCCTATCCATAGCTGCTGCAGTAGCAGCAGCTCCTGAGACCCCTAATCGTCCATCCTCCGCTAACGAAGTGTCGTCCCCTACTTTTGCTCAACAACAACAGGAATTTCAGAAGAAGATGGGCCATCGACCCACGAAATCGGTCGGCCCAAGCACTTTCGAGAAGGTCCGCAGCAGAACCAGACCTGTTCATCTTCCTCCAAAGGACCGGACAGAGGACAATAAACATTTGGCAGACTGGGAGGCCATG